TAGCTTCAAAAAATAACGAGAATTATTTTATTAAAATTACAAGTTATTGCTAATATTACGGTACGTTGCCTAACGCATTCATCTCGTAAGTAATCATCTAATAAGCTAATTATAACGCTGTCAAACACGTGCTTTCTCGTGCATCCATCCAGTTTAACTTCCAAGGAAAGCATCGAACCGAACTCGAAACGTGGGATCTTGAGGGATATCTTCGATAAATATCGGTTGATAAAGTCGCTTGCTCTTCGTAATATTCGATTCTGTTAAGGAAAAAGGTTTTTAAGGCAAAAGGTAGAACCTTTTTTTCTTAAGGCTCGTTAAATTGAATATCAAATGTTATCGCAGAAAGGAAATATTACAAGACATCGAAACGAGATCAATCTATAAGAGAAATTTATTTATAAATATAATAAAACGTTACGATGGTCAAAATTATTAACAAATAACGATCACAAGAAAATTTGATGAGTCAATTTTTATTTCTTTTTTTTTTTTTTTTTTTTTTTTATAAGACATTTATATTATTTCCGTGTTTTTGAAATTAAAATTTATTCATAAGATTTTTTATACGTAAATTTTTTTTTATTTACATACAATAAAATTTCTTAAATTTTTTACGTGAAAACAAAATAAGTAATTTTGTATGAATAAATAAATAATTTTTTTATCCACGCGTGAAAGTTTCATAAATGATTTTATTACGAAGATGTACAAAAATAGATACAGGCATAAATATATTATGAATAACAAATATTCTAATAGTTGAAAAAGAATAGAAGTTGAATATGTCAAAGTTAAAAACATAAACAACTTAACAAGTTTTCAAGATATAACCATTTTAATTATAAATATACAAAGAAAAAATTGACAATTTTAATTTTAAAACTGGTCTCCTGTAAAAATTTCTTCCCAATAGTTTTTATATAATTCTACTATCATATCTTAATTACATCATAAAAAAGTATAAATTAAAAATATAAGATATTCTTCTATTAATATGAAATTTAATATCACATAAACTTGTGTTATACCTTCCAGTGAATGCCAAACCTTAATTTCTGATTTCTTTGATCAATAAATATTATTCATCAAGACATTTGGAGGATTGAGATTTATTTATTATTAATCATCCAATTTTATAAGCAACTTAAGTTTGTAAGTATTTTTTTAAATGAAGCAAAGTTAAAAAAGACCCGCTTTAAATGTAATTATAAAGAAATAATTATTTTTTAAATTGCTTTGTTTTAAATTGTTTCTATAAGAGAACGTTGAATTATTTATCGGAATGAGTTTATATTTTAAAATGGCGTATTTAGAAAATGGAACAGTGTCTAAATACGATTCATTCATTTATTTATTTTATAATTTGTTAAAAAATCGTTTAATTTTCAATTGCCTCATGCACGACCTATTTATTTCACGAATTTCACTCTTCCATTCTGATTACCACTTATCGCAACAAATATCATCCCTCGATTACCTTCGATCACCTATTCCATCTCACCACACAATTTTACCACAATATATCATCAATCTCAAAAATCTTTAAAAGTCGAGTGAAGTTGAACCAGATTTCTAGCCACTCGCTTGAATCTAAGAGAGGAGAGAGAAAAAAAAAAAAAAAAAAATTCCACGAGGAAATCGTCCACCTTGAAATCGTTCAAAACAAGAGCGTGCACGCATAAAATCCGTCGTATCACGCCGCGAGGGAGGGCTGGAATGGAAGTAGCGGATGGGTCGGAGACGGACACAAAGAGAGAATGAATTTCTTTGCTTGGACGATTAATTACGCCCTCATTCCCGCCCCAACTGCGGCCTCTCTTGACGACGCATCATCGATATTGACATTTGCCTTGCTTCCCTTGCTCCTTCCACCTCTCCTTCCCGCCTCCACCCACCTTCCTCTTTCCCTCTCCGCCTCGCAATCGTATCCGCCCGCGAACGACCAAGGAACGTCCCGTACACGCGTGCAGAGAGATTCTCAATCGTGTGCGTGCACGCACCTCCTCCTCCTCCTCCCCCTTTTCCTCTTCTATACGAGTGTACGCGTGTGTACATCATAATACACACGCGCAATATATATATATATATATATATGGTTATCCCTCCTAGCTGGTTGTTCTCCTGTTTACCGAGAAACCGCGAGATATTTACGCGAGAGAGAGAGAGAGCGTGTGGGGAGGTGAGACGGGGTTGGTGGAGAAAAAGCGGAGAAAGAGGAAAAACGGGCGGCGAGCGAAGAAAGCGGCGAATCGAAGGGTGGTGGTCGAGAGAAGGCGGAGAGAGGAGAAGAGAGCGATGGAGAGGGAAAGCAAAGGGGGAGGGAGAGAGAGAGAGAGAGAGAGAGAGAAGAAAGCAGGGGGATGAAAAGTAGCAGATGTGTGGAGGAAGGAAGGAAGGAAGGAAGGAAGGAAGGAAGGAAGGAAAGAAGAGAAAGCGAGAAAGAGGAGAGATATGTGAAACAGGGTGGTGAAAAGTGGTTAGACGTAATGTGGAGGAAGAAGAGAGGAGGAGGAGGAGGAGGAGGAGGAGAAAGGGAGAGATATGGAATTAAGGGAACACACCCCTGTCTTTCGAGCGTACGCTTATCGAATGCACCGACAACCACCGCTTTTCCTCGTTCGCTCACCAAGACGGTTCTGTCATGCGAGGCGGCCAGGTAGGTTGGTAGGTAAGCTAGGTAGGTTGGTGGGAATGCGCGTACAAGGGAATTAGACCATAATCGTCGACGCGTGTGCCGCGCGAAGGGGACGTTTTCCGCCTGCCTTGGACCTCGATGTTCACTCGCGCGGCGGGGATCCGCTCGCTTCTCCGAGTGTGCACCTTACGACCACCTCTCTCTCTCTCTCTCTCTTTCACGCGCGCGCGCGCGCACTCTTCTTCTCCTTTTCTCCCGCTTACCACGGCTTCTCGATTCCTCTCTTTCTCCCTTCCTCTCTTCCCTGTCCTTCCTCCTTTTATTCCCTCGTGAATGCCCCGTTCGTGAACCGTCCGCGAGTAGGTTTCAGGAAGATTCCAATCGCGGACCGTTTGGTCTCTGAGACGAAGGATTTTGATTGACGGGCTGATGATCCGAAAGAAAATGATCTTTCTGCGTTCTTCTTCTGGTTTTTTATTCCGTTGGATAATGATGATACTATTGTGTTACGTTTCGTTTCGTCATTTTGTCATGTCATTCTTTGAGTCGGAATCAATTCTCGTTCGTTTTTTTTTTTTTTTTTTTTCGTTGTGATTTTCGAATCATTATTCTCTTTGGGAGAAATATAATTCGAATTTTTCTTTTCTTTTTCATCGATCATTTGTGTTTGTGGATACTTTTAAAGATTGCAAATGAGATTTTATGTTATCGTTTGTTCGAAAAAATTTGATGCATATGTAAATGATGTGTATGTAAATTTATATCATATGTGATATATACACTGTATATATAAATTATATGATATATATATACGTATATCAAGAGTATTATGTTTTATGCAAAATTCTTGTCAAAAACTATACTTGTTAAATAGTTGAAGTGACTTTCTGATCCTTTAAAAGTTAATTATTTTTTTAATTTTAATATTCTTTGCTTTTATTTTGTCTGCTTGTATTTCTATATGTAATTTATTCATATAAACATAAACAATATAATTTAATACATATTTGAAGTTATTCAATTAACTTAAACTATTTTGATCCATTTTATAAATTACTATCTAATCACTTATATAATATAATTTTATATAATTTACTTTCATTTGAATATTTGAACGTAAGCAACATAATTTGATGTATATTTAAAATTATATAATTAGTTTAAACTATTTCTGATCTCATTGATCTTATTATTGTCGTAAAGCTTGTTTCCAAAATGAATTCAAAATTCTTCCCGCGATATGTTTAAGAAAAACACCATTAAATCTACTGCAAGCGCCATCTATGAATGTGCTCGGAAAGTAGTAATTCTTGGTTCTGAATGGTAACACAGATTTCTGCAGTGAACAACTGTCGACAAGAATCGATTACTCTGTTTTACTTAAAAATTCGAAAAAATCCATTTTTTCTCTTCTTTTTTGCATTATCGTACAAAATTTTTTTTCATATTTTATTCTCCCCCAATCGAATATTAACAACAAGTATTTCAAACAACTCATTCACATAATATTTTACCGATCGTGTAATGCTATCCGTTTTTCCTCAAACCGGAAACAAAAATTCCCAAGTCGCATCCATACCTTCCGAGAACTGATACCCACCATTCCCTTATTTGTTTCCTAATCCTCTTTAAGAAAGAAAAGAGACAATCCATCTTCGCCACCTATTAACTTTCGCGTATATAATAAAATCGCGAAAACAAACAAATGAAAGGTCAAAAAGCAAGAGATAAAACGCAAGAAAGAAAGTGATCGGACAATAACCGATAAGAATATTAATGGAGAAATGTTACGAAACGATCGAAGTCGGGGATAAAAACGGCGAAAACAACGAAAAATGACGCGAGAAAAAAGGGGAAAAGAATAAAACAGGAGGAAAAATGAAAAATGAGATATCACCCTCGGTTAAACGAGAACGAATTTTCAGCATGGATCGCGGGCCAATCCCTCGGTTCCAATTATCCCCGGTCATGTCTCGTTAATTCTCTTCGAACCGATCGAGCGTCTATCGGGCCCGCGGGCGGCAATCTCCAACCATCTTTCGCCCCGGAATAATCTAAAACGTTTTGTCGTCGGGAATCTAATCTAATACCGCTGGCCCTGGAAGGTTATACTTTTATTGGCGCGTCTATTGGGCTTAACGAGGTCAATTGAGGTGATACGGTTGCCTTGATTTTACGATAGTACATCGTCGGAACGATAACGATCCGAAAGCAACCGGGGACCGCGATCTCGCGGTTTCAAATCACTGCGAAATCGATCGTGTTCGTGATCGCGATTGATCGCGCGCGGCAACGATCTGTACGTATGATATATAACGATATATAGTGGCTTGCACTAACGAAAGTTTCGATCGTGTTTCAGCATCTGTACCATCTGCAAACGGGCGAGGGTGCGTTCAGAGAAAGGGGGAGAGGTCGAGGCAAAGGTGCAACCAGGGTGAGTGCAATTTTTTTATTTATAGTATAGTTATAATAAAATCTTCGTATATAAAGAGATATATATATTTTTCTTAATTTAAAATGCTCTTAAATGTGATCACGAAGTTATGGAAATTAAATTAATTATTGTTAAGTATAAATTCATATCATATTCCTCATTCTAGAAAGAGATGAATGTGCAATTTTTTTCTTTGAATAAAGATATATATTTTTAATTTTATTAAAATGATAAAACTTACATTTTATAAATCTTTTTTTATAATTTGTTATATTTTACGTTTAATTATTAAATTTTCATTAGTTATTGTGTTAGAAAAGGATATATTATATTATGTTAATGATATAGTCTCATATAAATTATATAACTTATAATAAATTTTTAGGATATATCTATTCTTGGTTCGAATACTTATAAAATGATATATTCATTATATATTCATTATATTAAATAAGAAATACTATATGTGCTAAAAAAATCTCTTTTATTATAAAAATTATAAAGATATTGCCTTTGACATTTTTTAAAGTAAATAAATTTTTCCTGATTTTTTTTAAATTGATTTATATTGATCTTTAAAAATTATTTAAAATATTAAATTTCGATGATTTTATCCTACCAAATTCAATATCAAAGTTTTAATTTACTAAATGGAACAAAACTATCATGAATATTACTTCAAGTAAAAGAAGTCGAACTTCGTAAAGAACTGAATCTCCTTGACCGAATTTTGAAATTCAAATAAAAGGAAGGCACAACTTTTATCATCGTATTAATCCTTTTCAACGAAGACGTCTGTAAAAACTTTCGACTTTTAAATTATCTGTCAAAAAGATAATAATAAATCTTTCCAAACATATTTCTATCAAATTCAATTTATTAATTGTTTTCTTCAAAGTATATATAATTCAAAAAAAAAAATCCTCAAAGAATAATACAATATTTAATAAATGAAATAATTCTCTATTTAATAATTATTATTTCCTTATTTATAAAGAAACTAAGAATCTTTTAACTCTATGAGCAAATATATTTTTCATACTTTCCTAAATGAATCTGTCATTTATATCCACAATTATTTTAAAAATTTAAAAAAATCCTGAAATATTTATTAATTTTCACTTCAGTGTAATCATTCATTCAATCAAGCGTTTAAAAAATGTCTTCGAAGGAATTCAAGAATGAAATTTTTATTCCAAAGTTAAATAACTCAAAGTGAATAAAAATAATAAACTTTCGATATTGCATTATTCGCAAAAAAAAAAATAAAACAGAATTTATTTAATGAAATTTCGTAACGTAAAATATCTTTCAATTTCAATTTCAAACTTCATTCTGTTCTTTGTCTTACGTCGATAAATCGTGAAAATTGAAATCTGCGAAATTCGTGAATTCGAGCGAACAATCGTGCTCCGCCTACCTTTTATTACGTTCTTCGAAAGACGAAGACTCTCTTGCGGTTCGATATTTTATTTCAATTCATTCGTGTTCAATAATGCATCTTTATTAATTTTTATTAAATTACAGTCAGTCGTTATTCTACGTTACAAAAATTTTATCATTTTATCGTTATTATTTTTTTTATTTTTAATTTTAAAAAATTATTTAAATAATGAATCGTGGCTATATTTTTTTTTTAGCGGAATATCATTTTGAATCTCACAAGGAGATGAAATCAACGCTAAAATTTCGATACATTTATATTTTCACATTTTTGTTCTTTCGAATATAACTTTGTACGAGACAAAGCAAAATATTAAATCATGAAAGTTTTTTTTTTACAGTTTTATCATCTATCTGTTATGAAAAATATTCTCAAATGAAATTTTTTTTCTTCCAAAATTTAAAAAATTTTTAATCAATTTCACATCTTCGAAGAAATTTTTCGTCGATAAAATATAAAAATAAAAAAATAAAAAAATCCATCCATAACCCATCATAATCTATATATATATATACACAATTTCAATTAGAAATTAGAATTTTTTTGTAATATAAAGTACGAATAATTTTGTGACTGACTGTACATACTATGATGAATGCCACGAAAGAATACATTTAAATATTGATATTAACACTAAAAAACAAATATTGAAAGGAATGGAATATAATAAAGTTTAATTTTAGTTAAAGTAAGATCGTAAAAATGTAAAACGATCAAGAAATGACGTTGGCGCGCAAAATACCGGAGAACGCTCGAAAATAAGACGATAAAACGCGACACGAGCCGCGCAAATGGATGGTTTATTCTTTTCCGCGGCTCGTAATTCGTCTTACTTTCTTTCTCGAGCGAGATTTCAAAGGGAGAAGTTGTGTGATATGCATTTCGAGCACGATGTCGCGTATTTACGCCACGTTCACCGTGCAACTCGTTTCCGGTACCAACGTTTCGATTCCTCCTTTTCCTCTTTTTTCATACTTTTTCTCATTTTCATTTCTTTGATCTTTTTTTTTCTTTTTTCCCTTTTTCATTTCACTTTTTCTTACTTTATTTATTTATTTTTTTTTTTCTTACTTCGATGCTTCTCTCATCCCTCTTTCCTTTCTTTCTTTCTCCTTTTATTTTCCTTTCTCTTAATTCACTGCTTTGATACTTTTCTCTCTTTTATTTCTTGCGTTTCTTTTCGAAAAGAAACTCTTCGTTTTCTTTCCTTTTTTTCTTTCTTTCTTTTTTCATTTTTCTTTTGTTATTTCGGTATTTTTCTTTTTTCTTTAGTTCGTTTTTCTCTTTTTTATTTCTTTCGACGTTTCTTCTCGACAAGGGCACTCCTCTTTTTCGAGGGCACTCGGTTTACCACTTATCCGTCACGTTTCTAATTCCAGAAACGTGGTAACGCACGAGTAAACGGCCCAGCGTTTCCCGCCACTTGAAAAATCATGCTCGCCTTTGAAAAATGAGATAGATCTCTTGAGATGAATCGCTGGTCAAATCTTATCTCTCGATTGAATAATTTGTACAGAGTTATTTGTTCAAATCGACTCTTTGCTCTTCGAAATATATCTTCGAAAGTGATATCGGCGATATTGAAAAATCGTTTCGAATAAAAAGTTAAATTATGTTTAGAGATAGATATAAAATTTAATGAGAAAATTATTTCTATTCGGACACGTAGAGAAAGTGCTTGAAAATCAATTTGTTTCTCTTCTTACGGAATCTAATAAAATATATTTTCAAATTGATTCGAATTGATTCAACTTGTCACGCTTTTTACCATCGTCAATAATATTATTAGACACAGTTTTCCGGACAAAATATGATTAATGACAAAAATAACGTTAAACGTGTTTACTTAACGATTTACTTAACGTTAATTAATCGTGTTTACTTAACGATTAAATAATCATTAATTAACGAGAAAAAAACATAATCAAAAGTCATGATTAATTCAATAATCATCAATAATTATTAATCATATAAAGATAATTGCGCTTTTTATTATGATCGAATCAATAATTCATCACTCGTCTGATATAACAATATTATTAACGATAAATATTTTAAAATTCAAATTGTCCAAATCCATTTTTTCTCAATATCAAATCTTTATCAACCGTTTATTAAAGATCTAAAATCTAACGATTAATTTATTCAGGGAATAAATATCGAGATAATGCAATCAAGGAAAAAGATAAATGATGCAAAATTTCCTTCATTTAATACACATGTGCAATCTGTGTTACGATTTTTTTATCTGTTTATTTCTCGAATCGAAAAGAACAGTGAAACGGAAAAATCACGGTGGAACGAGACACGAGAAAAACATTGTACGGGCGAACCGAGCGTTGACTCGATGTTTGTTTTACAGTTGCGTGAACAGCGGCGTTTTTTCTTTAAACAAAACCGCGGTGGTCGCGCGAACTTGGCTAATAGAAGGAAATTTGATTGTCTTGGACGAGAGTTCGTACGAATATTTCCACTTTCCTACTGAATCGGAAAATAAACAGTGGTTTGGCACTGGAAGAAGATAATTTCGCGAATAAATCGCAAAGATATTATATTAATGTAAATGAATATAGATACGAAAAATCGCGAACGATGAATTTAACAACGACAGAGAGTGGAATTAATGATTATGAAAGTGGTGATTATGAAATAAACAGATAATTCTAAAACGAATTGTGCATTGTAAGAAAGTTGAAATTCGATTGTCAGAATATATATCGTAAATTGAACAATATCAATCAGAAATCAAATTGTGTACTTTTTATTTTAAATATCTTATTAGAAAATTGTATCTTTTATCATTTTTTTTATTACAAGTACGAATATATATAAAATTATCGATCTTTTTTAAATGTATTTTAATATTTAAATATCTCGAAAATTATATTTTAGGAAAAATGAGATAAAATTAATCTTTAATTAATGTTGTAATATGATCCAATAAATAAAAAATAAAATAGTAAAATAACTATATTTCCTATATTGAACTGTAAATTTAAATTTTTTCTGACAATTTGTTTTCGAGACATCTCGATGTGAATTTTTTAAACGAACATGTATATTTATTATTATTTTAAAATAATAATAATAGAAAAAAATAGTAATAGCTTTTTACAATTTTTCATAGAAAAATTTGTTCACATAATGAAAAATTTTCTAGATTTATGTCAATTGTATGTTAAAAATTCCATCGAAATAAATTGACAGAGATATAAGCAACATTCATATAAAAACACATAAAAATCCATAAACTAAAAGATGATCGAATAATAAATTTTTAAAGCTACCAAAAGTTTTATCACATTTACATTTTAATTCAAAATAATAATACCCAATATCTATATTATCCACTGTTGCAAATGTTCCTCCCAGTTTATTACAATACAAAATACAAATACTTAAACGCTTGGCAAAATTTAATTTCCTCCACATTTATCTCCTCGGAACATTCGTCGTTGATGCAAGAATCGCATTTCGAATAAATATCTTGACGATTACGGGAGCAGGCTCGAAGGAGTTCGAGAACTGACATCAAGCAACGTGCTATGCTAGTACG